GGCAGTGTGGCGAGAGCGGCCCCCCCGCGCCCGGCGAAGCTGACAATGAAAGTGCTGGGCTGTGTTTGTGCAGGGGCTCAGGGCACAATGGGCAAAGGGCCTGACGCACCGCTTTCCTTTCTGCCCCCAGACAATGTCCCCGCTTGGCCCGGGGATTAGGGACCCAGCCTTTCACAGGGCACCCACAGCCTTTGCCAGGGTTGAGATTGGTGGGAAGGAGGTGCCAGGGTGAAGCCAGGATTTGCCAGCTGGGAGCTGTGGGGCACTGATATCCTGGGACTGGGATGCGGGGCTCTTCTGGTGCTGCATCTGCCCCTATGCCTGTGGCTCTGCCACTGCAGGTCCCTCCTCCAGCCAGGCTCTGCCTGGCATGTCCCGAGCTGGCAGGGCAGGGTAGGGGCTCAGCCTGCATGGGAAGGGCTGCGTGTAGGGTGGGAGAAGGTTGGGGTGAGCAAGAGGGGTGGAAGAGTTGTTGGCACAACCACAGCTTGGTCAGTCCATTCTCTGGTAGATGTGCAACACCCTGTGGAGGTCCCTGTGTTGAATCCAGATCAGGCACTGATAGACCCCAGTTACATGCTTCTCACTCGCAATGCCCTGGGCATGTCCCCTGGTCTGGCAAAAGGCTCTGGTGCTCCCCGCACACCTCCTGCCCAGACAGGGGACACTGGGAACAGTGGGAGGGGACCAGCTCTGGAGCAGAGCTGTTCCCTTCACTCGTGCAGCAAGTCCAGCCCTGCCTGGGACTGTGCTGTGCAGTGCAGACATCTCCAGTGTCACCCGCCAGGACCTGGGCTGGATGAGGCCAACAGGCTGGAAAGGAAGAAGAGTGCCCAGCTCAGCCGTGAAATCCTGGGCCTCTTGGCTGTGGCGTTTCTTATGACATCCCTGCATCGCCCGTGGTGAGGTCAGGCACTCCCCATCTTCAGCTGGGCAAGAGCCACTCTGGCCTCTGGGCAAGGGCTGACCCAGAGCACCTCAAACCTACCTAAGAAAAACCTCAGCCTTCTTGGGGGTCCTGAGCACAGTGGCAGCACCCCAAGAGATGCCGGCAGTACCGGTGATGGAGGGTGCAGCGTGAGTAGCTGTTAGGACACCTGGCATCTCTGCCCCGTTCTTAGCAAGAACTGGAGACTGAGGAGTGACAGCAGGAAGGGGCTGGGAGCAGAACCCGTGAGTCCTCTTCATGTCCCCTCCACTGCTCCACAACGTACCGGGCAGCATTTCCATCCCTTTCCGACGCTCGGTGCGGGCTGCGCCGATGCCCGCAGGTCCCAGCAGAGGGTGCAGCCTGGCAGCGGTTGGAGCCTGCTCCAACCAAGCGACATTGGTGGCCCTGGCCGGGTACAGATGCTGGGGAGGGGCCCCTCTTGCTTGAGACTCCTTGAGTGCTCGTAGCGTGGGGAGGGGGAAGACCCCCTGGGAGCTGCCTGGAGGAGCAGAGGATAGAGGGAAGGATGGAGATGCTCCCCGGGGAGGAAAGGGGATGTGTGGGGGTAAGCAGATCCCCAGGATGCAGCCCAGTGGCCTGGGGTCATCCCTCAAAGTGATGGGGGTCAGGTTTGGGCAGCTCTTTGGGAAGCCAACACTTTGGGGGTTGGTGGGGCAAGATGGAGTGCTAACGCACTGCAGGGTTCCCCCCAACCGCTGCTGCCCCTCGTCTGTCTGTGTGAGCAGAGGAGTGGGGCACTGTTTAGGGTGCGGTGCTATGGAGTGTGATGGCAGTCTGGGGTTATGGGGTGCAGGGCACTGTGGGGTGTATTACAGAGCCCCAGGCTGTGGGGCATCGCAGGATATGTTATGCAGGATATGCTGCAGGCTGTTATGGGGTGTGCGTACGGGGTATATGGGGCACTGCACAGTGTGCTACAGGATCTATGGGGCACTGGTACTGTGCCATGAAGGGCATGCAGGCGGTTCCGTCAGCCCCATACAACCCTTTGGATAAAAGCATCTGGTGAAGGGGGTACAGGCGAGAAACCTGCCCCCAGGTGCCGGCTGTGCCCCATCCTCCCTTCTCAGCCCCATCCCACACGCTGGGATGTACCTCACTCCCCGCTCGGCACATTCAGGGCAGCCACACGGGAACCACAGCCGCATCTGGGGACAGTGGATCAGGGGGCAGCCCACATGGCACCATGCCGAGGGCCCTTGCCCTCTGCACCCCAGGGTGCTGACACAGCCTGGCCTCCCGGGGCATCTCCTGGGGCCTTCAAGTGGTCCCTGTCACCAGCCAGCAACCCTGTGGCCAGATTAGCTGCCAGGCTTTAGTTATCACCCCTGCCCGGCTGGGGACAGGGGCAGGGGGAGGCTGGTACAGGAACAGGCAGTGACTCCGCTCAAGGGCAGCTGCTAATATCGGCTCTGGGAGCTGGGTAGTGCTCGCCCAGGGCCTCCTGCATAAGCTAATTTAATAACAGCCCCGCATTGCTCCCGGCTCAGCCTGTTCCCTGTGCTCACAAAACAGATCAGGTTTCTCTGGGCCACTGGGCACAGGGCGAGTGACCAGCAGCCCCTGGGCATGGTAGGAAGACAGGGATGCCCAGGTGCTCCATGCTGAGCCCAGACCATGCCAGCCGTGCTCCCCGGCCGTGGGGTTACACTCCATGCCTTGTGCAGGCGCTGGTCCTGGAATGGTTCGTGGCTCAGGGAGCTGTGCAGGCTGAAGGCAGCCTCAAGGGAGGTGAGGCAGGCGCTGCCAGGGCATTCTGATGCTGATGTCCCCTCATCTGGGGCACATCTGGGGCTCATAGCAGCATGCTGTCTTTCCCACTGCTGTTATGAGTATCTGGGCTAGCTGACCAGCCCAGCACAGCCATGTGTGGTCCTGCATCTGGCTGACACCACAGGCTGAGCCCTGGCCAGTCACCCCCCAAGCCCTGCTAGCTCCTCTCTCCTTGCTCCCAACCCCACTGGGGACTGCACCATCCCAAGGGGCTGGAGGTCCAGGGGCTGGGCCAAGCAGGAGCAGATGGAGCTGGTGCCAGCCCCTGTTTATCTTTCTCCCAGTTGCCTGGTGCTCTGTTTGTTCTGGGGATGACTTCCTGCTGCCAGGGCTGAAACAGGTGGCTTTTATTTGCAAGATCTGGCTGATTAAATCAGGGGCAGTGTGTTGTTCCCCTCACCCCTTTCTCCCCCAGCCTCATTTCCCTGGGAAATCATCCCCCTTGGCAAGGCTGTAGACAGCTCCCTTCTCTCCCCAAGCATTTTACCTACAGGGCTGCTTTGAACATGGCCACACCAGGACTGGTAAATCCCAGCCAAAACTCTCTCCCTGCCGGGTCCCCAAATCCTAGAGCCAAGGGGCTTGCTGGGGTTCCCAGTGTCACTCGTCCCTTCCTGGGGCCTTGCTGGCTGCAGAGGACACGTGTGCCATTCAGGCACACATCCGCTGCAGAAGCCTCCTTGCACAGGCGTTGCCTTGCACAGGGAGCCCCAGCACACACCAACCACCCTGCGCACACGTGTCCCCCCGGGTACTCAGCCGTCCCCTCCCCGAAGCCGGAAACTCCCGGGATCGCAAACAGCCTGGCAGATGTTGCTGGGATTAGCTCCCACACAGGCGCACACGCACGCAGCGCAGC